GAAGGAGCTACAGGGCTTTTCCCCAGCAACATAACTGGTCCGAGTCTGTAAGACCCTTACAGTCTAACAGAGCTTGGAATGGAAATCCTGATGGAAGGAGGATACCACAAAGGGGGGGACGAGGCTGTAAGAGCGCTGCTGTCTCTGCTTTGGTTTTTTCTGCTGCTCTGGCTTGAGCTGTGTAACAGAACCCAGCTGGAGAGAGGATTTGAGGCTGCAGACTGTAAAAGAGTCCTAGGTAAGCGTCTCTGAATGCCAGCAGAGTGCATCTGATCTGGAGAGCCCTCTGCCCAAAGGCTTTGCAGGTTTATACACACCGTTTGAAAGGACCTGAATCTGCAGCAGGATTTGTGCACACTGTGCAGCTGTGTGTTCCCAGCACTTGCAGCTCGCAACCGTCTGCTGGTGTGAGGGAAGCAGTGTTATGTGCTCAGGATGCTCTTTAAATATGCTGGTGAAACTGTGCCTGTCCCTGGCTTGTGCTGCTGGCTGCTGGTGACCTGTGCAGCTGTGCATAGGTACATGACCATAGCCCTGTCAGTGTGGCCGTGTGTCACACCGCTTCGTGCTTTCCAGTCCTGTGATGGAGGAGAGGGCATCAGCACAGCCAGAGCCAGCAGCACACCGGGGCCAGGCTCTCCAGCCCTGTCTGTGTCTGTGGAGGGGTTGGCTGGGCTGACAGAGGTGGTGGTGCAGGCGAGTGTTGGCTCAGCAGGGCACTGCTGGCTCAGCAGGGCAGTGTTGGCTCAGCAGTCCCTCAGCTCGCCGTGGGCAGCTTCTTGCTGCACTCGAACACAGCAGAAATGATGCTGACGTTTCTCTTCCTCCTGTCCTTCCTCCCAGCTCCCTGCAGAGCAGTCACCCCGTGAGGCAGGGAGGCTGGGGAGCAGCTCTGGTGTCCGAGAACCAGGGATTTTGGTCTCTGCTTCCCATTCCTTTTGCATCCAGCTCAGTGGACGCTGAGTTAGACTCTACCTGGACTGAGGTGTCTGTATTGACCTGCCTGCTCTTTAGGTTGCAGAGGAATATAACTTGTGTTTAAAGCCCGTACAGTTACTTGTTACCTGCTGGTTGACCTCCCAGGGTTCTGCCCCACTGCTGCAGGAAGACAACTGGGCAGGCTGGGACTGTGCAGATGGTTTGCTCTAGGGACTTCCATTTCACGTGCCACTGAGCTTTGCTTTGAGCTCTTGGTTCAGAAGGACCCCAAATTCTTGTTGTAGCTGCCAAAAGTCACCTGCTTTCATTTGAAATCGTGCGTAACCTGGAGACATTGCAGGCCAGGCTGGAGGTGGTTCTGGGCAGCCTGGTCTGGTTGAAGATGTCCCTGCTTATTGCAGGGGGATGGACTGGATGAGCTTTGAAGGTGCCTTCCAACCCAAACCATTCTATAACATCAAGGTTCCCTCATTTCAAGTCAAAATCAAGTCTGGGCTTGCTCAGAAAGGGTTTGACCCAACATTCATTGAAGCCATGAAATCCAGTCGCTGTTTTCAGTCTTTGGAGCACTGTAGCCCTGGGAGCGTGCAATGGATGCTCTGGTTTTTCCACTGAGGCTGTGTGTAAAGGCAGGTCAGACTTGTCCTCTGTACCCTGACAAGAGACATGTCCCTGATGGCCTGCACAGCGCTGGGTCAGAGCTGACATGCTGCTGCTGCAGCTCAGAGCATCACTCAGAGCAGCTCTCTGGTGACTGCAGGGAGCTGAGCTTGGCCGCAGTAATACCAGGGCTGGTTCCAGCAGCTCCCATCTGCCTGCACCGCCTCAGGGGTTGGCTCCTTGGACCCAGAGGTGGGAAGTTCAAAGAAGAGCCTCTGTGAGTGGGGATGGGCAGCAGAGAGAGCGCCAGGCCCTGAGTAAGCAGAGCCAGCGCATCTCTGAATGTGCCTCCCCATGAGCTCCTCTGGGGGGGTGGAAATCTGCTGCTTCACGCAGGGAGAAGTTGTGTTGGCAAGCTGTGCTCTGGTGCCTGGCTTTGTGCACAACATGGAAATCCTTTCCTGCCTGGTCTCTTCTAATTCTCTGTGCCGTCAGTCATTGCACATGTCATCAGTGGCTGTGGAGAAGACGGCACAGTTGGGGCACAAGCCTACTGCAGCGTCTGAAAAGCAGCATTAGCTTAAAGCTTTGCACATGAGAGCTGCTGGTGATTGACAGGACACACAGTGCAGTCATTGAAACCAGAAACGTGTCTGCTCTGGAACCTCTTCCGGGTGTCCAGGATTAAAGAGCAGTGCTGGTGCACTTTGGTAGGTGCTGGGAGCCTTGTTCAGCAGGCAGCAAGAAGAGAACTTGTGCAGCATGCTGAGGGCAGGCTACCCCAGCCTGGCACAGCACCCAGCCTGCTCTGAGCCGCATCTCTCCAGGTTGGGATGCAGGTGACACAGTGCAACCCAGCAGACTCCAAGCAGCTAAGTGTAATGCACTGGGTTTAAGTGTGTGCCATGAGTGTTGCACTGGAAGGAGCTGGCTTTGTGGCACTGCTGTCACCTTAGCTGATGTCAGATGCCAGCCACTTACAGTATGCGCCATCACAGCATGACTGGAGTTGGCACCACAGAGTCAATCACATGCCAGCAGCCTACTGTAAGGGTGGGGAGTGTGTGGGAAGATGGGGGGGAGAGACTCTTATAGAATGCTTTAATGATTTATTTTTAATAGCCATGTTTCAAGCCTTGGGAAGCGCTGTCCATATGCTTTTCCCTCCTGGCTGTAGTTGGCAAAGCAGCTGACGAATATGGTCCTTCAGACTCCTTCCATTTTGCTAGCAGCTAGGAATACAGCTATATTTAGCGTGTTACCAGGGCCAGCAGCAGAGGCTGTTGCTGGGTGGTGATTCCCTGCCTGCAGGTTCACGTGCCACGCGGGGCAGGGTGGGAATGTGCCTTCCCTGGAGGCAATGTTTGGGCTAAACCAACAGCACTAAACTCCTTTACTCACAGCAGGATGCTGCACTGGTCCCAGCAGGCTCAGCACACCGTGTGCTGGCACAGGTCAGGCTCCGAGCACTGTGCCCCGTCCTGACACATGCAGAGACCCACTTAGGTGCTGGGATGATGCTTTTGGGTACCACACTCTCTGCTTGATCCCTGCAGGGGTTGGGACGGTCCTGTGCCCTGTGCTGGAGCTACAGCGAGTCACTGCAGCCAAACTGTGCCTTTTAGCGTGAAGATGCTCAATCTGAGGTTTAGGGGCCTGATTCCTGCTGTATGTTCCCATATTGCATCCTAGGTCACCCAGATATAAGACGGAGTTGTCCTCATTTGTCCCCAGCCCAGTATTCACACAGCAGATTTGCTACCCGTTCCCTGTTGTTTCCCTGCTGTGTTGCAGCTGGTACTGAGAAGCGAATAATGGCAGTCCTTTGTCCTTCTGGCAGCTTGCACAGAGCTGAAACTGGTCTTGAGGAGCGTATGTGTTGCTGAGGAGTACTGAGAAGTGTGGGTGGAAGTGTAGAAGGGATCACCCCACCAGTGCTGGAGTTCAGAGGATACCAGAGGTGCCCATCACTTTAGAGCGAGACCTCTTGGAAGCTGTTTTGTAGCTGGATGTGTGAACTGGGAACACTCTGCGTTCACATCATCGATTCCTAAAATTCCTTGTCTGAGAGATGAAGAGCATTCTGTGGTGTTGGTGAGCAACCCAGCTCAGCTGTGGCTCCTAACCTGTCCTGGTGAAACAGTGGTCGATGATGCTCAGGATCAAAATGATGGTGAGGAGGAGCTGGGCTGAAGGTGTGGGTTTGCATCGGAGTGATTCAGCTTTCCTAGAGCCCTGGCAGGCTGACAACAGCCGTGCTGCACTTCACATGCTCTGCAGCAGCATCTGCACAGGGCTCAGGTCCTCAGACACAGCTCCTCCCTGAAACCAGTAGCACTCCAGCACCAGCAGCAGTGGTTTCTGCTCGCAGCTCTGCAGCCCCAAGGTCGTGCTTTTTGGGCACTTCTTGTTGGTAATAAACACATCGTGTTTGCAGAACCCCCTGTTGGAATTAAACAAACTCTGCCTTGATTATAAATGTAGAACAAAGCCTCACAGCAAGCTGGGGTGGCTGGTGGCCGTGACATGCGGAATCTCAGTTGGAATAGCAGTCCTTTTCCAGCTGAAGAAGGGCCTGTAAAAACCAATAGCTCTTTTTTTCATCTCCTTTCCTGCAGTGCACAAACATCCACACGCATTTATTCCAAATTTGGTAGAAATTACAGTTTTCCCAACCCAAAGCATTTGTGCCAGGGTCAACCAGGAGGGATTTCTAAGGCTGATGTGTTAATCCCTTGAAGACTGGAGCTGAGAACAGAGCAGCTGCATGGCCATGGCCACCCCGCTGCACTGCAGCAGTGGTGGAGGTGGGATGCTGCAGGAATGCTTTGAGCCTGGATGCTGGGTCTTGGTGGCTCCCAGGGGATGGGAAGGGCTTTAGGGGGACCTGGAAAAGCTGCCATGAGGAGAATGACCCAAACCTGCCCAGTGCTGCTGAGTCTCCTCCTCCCAGATTAATGCAGGGTTTTTACCTTGTAGTAGAGTCTGAGGACCTGCCAGCTGCATGGTGCCACTTCACACAGATGTGAGGAAGTGTGGGGTGATGCAGCCAGGGCAGTGCTGGAGGCAGTTTGTTTCTCACTGTCTGATGTCAGGTCTGGTGTTGGGAGGGAGGGAAACAACCCACACAAGAAATGGAATTTTGGGTGTTGTTTCTGGAACTGTTGCCGCTGGTTTCTGAAAACATTGGTATTTGTGTTAGACCGGGGATTTTACAACAATAACATCAGGAAGCTCAGCTTCTGGGTGTAGCTTGATAGCACTGGATTAGTCTTACTTCAGGAGAAGTCATGTTGCTCTTCACTTAAGCCTATAGAAGAATCACAGAAGAACAGCAGCCACCAAACTGCCTCAGCTCAGGTGCTTGTGTTGGTGCAGTAACTCCAACAACCCACAACTAAACCTGTGTGCCTTCCCCGTGTGTCACGTGCACTGAAATGCTGTTTCCTTGTGTTTTCCAGGGCCGGTGTACCCGAGAGAACTGCAAATATCTTCATCCTCCCCCCCACTTGAAAACACAGCTCGAGATAAACGGCCGCAACAACCTGATCCAGCAGAAGACAGCCGCAGCCATGTTCGCTCAGCAGATGCAGTTCATGCTTCCAGGTGCCCAGCTACAGCCCATTGTGAGTTGAGGTCACACTGCTCCATGTGTCCTTCCTTTTTGCTCATGAGGCCCCAGCCCTGGGCAGTTGTCACGCAGCATCTTCTAGAGGGATGTCTGATGTTACCGTGGCATCTTCTTGCTCGCAGCTCCTTTCCTCTGGTTACTCAGGAGCTGTGAGGTTCAGGGCATCAGGTGGAAGGAAAGGATGCTTGACCAGTTAATTCACATGCATCCCAGAAGTCGTGAGTGGCTCAATTCCAGCGGATCCTATTTTAGGTATCTGTTTTACATTGGGGTGAGGATGCTGGAGTTCTTCCAAGAGGCCAGCTGACTCCCTTGGACTAGATGCATTGTACTGCTGAGCTAAAATTGGGGAAGATGAATCCTACCCAGACCTTAATACTTTTTTCTGTGCCTGGAAGTGAGACCTATTTCACTGCAGTCATCCCAGCAGAGAGCTGTGCTAATGTCACAGCCCTGGCACTTGTCTTTCACACCAATGCTGTTCTATACTAACAGCAGGAGAGATTTGCTTCTCTTCAGGTTGGGAAAGAAGCCTGTGGGAGATGGGTGTTTGCAGAGCAGGTAGTTCAGAGAAGCCTTCGCTGCCTGTCCCTGGTTTTGCTTATCAGTTAGAACAGGTTTTGAGGCTGGAGGGCCCTGTTACACCAGGGAGAGGGTGGCTTGGCTCTGCTGGTTGGTGTATCTGGGGGGGTGACATTTATCAGCTGAGTTTGGGTCTTCCATGATGTGTATTTTAAGGAATGTCAGAGGTCTTGCTGACATAAATAACTGCATGTTCTCAACCAAGAGCTCGAGGAGGAGCTCTCCAGTTGAAGCTGGGGCTCAGTATCTTTCCTGGGGCAGTGTGCACTGGAGGTGCAGTTGTTGGGTGAGGTTCCTTGTGCTGCACCACAGGAGGTCTGGCTGGCTCCTGAGAGGACACTGATAGCCTGAAGGCGTAACAGCTTGTGCACCAGCCTGCCCTTTCCTAGGGGTGTCCCAACAACAGTTGCTTAAGCTCTTATCTGCTGGGATCTTTGCACCTCTTTCTTGGAGTTCCAAAGTATGTTTATGTCAGAGAGAAATCCTGAAGTCCCACAGAATGGTAGCACTCATTTCCTTACCCTGTTCCAGAAGCAAACCCTTCCTGTTCGGGGTTTTCCTCTGTGGGGAATGCCGAGTGGACGCTCTTTGGCTGTGGCAGTTCAAAACATCTTTGGGATTTCCTCTTTGGAAAGTTCCCATCTTCCCATTTTGCAACCTTGCAGGTCCAGTTCACGCCTGCAGTTTCACTCCTGCCTTTTAAATTGCCTCTGAGACTGAATCTGGTTCGTGGTCTTGTTGCAGAGGTAACTCGTCTGATGAGAAAGGTCCCTGGTTTCTGCACTGTGCCACAAGGGAGACATGGGCAAAGGAGAGAAGTAAAACCTTTGTTCTGCAGGGACTGCTCCCTTCTTGCTTTCCCACACTTGGCTGAGGGTAAACCAGCTCTGGGTCTGACTCCTGCTGCCCAACTGGCTCCACACCACTTTCAGGACAAACAAGAGGTTGCTCTTCCAACTGCCTTTGATTCCCAAAGATGCTGCTGGTGGAAACAGGCTCTGAGAAGGTTTTTCCCCTCTAAATGAGCAGGGTGGGGCCTCCTCCTGGCTACGCAGGAGAGCCTTCAAAGCAGGAAGTGTTGTATCAGATGCAGCAGCAGAGCAAATCCCATGTGATCAGAAAGCTGATCAACTGGATGCCTGCTTTAGTGGGACGCGTGCCAGGGACAAGATTGGGAACAGCGAGCTTGGGAGCAGCGTGCTCAAGAGCACCAAGCAGTAGCTGAATGCTTGGATGTTTTAGAGGGCATTTTCACCACTGAAGTTACTGAGTTAAGCCATCACCCACACCCCGCAGCAGCACCCGGCCCAGCAGTGTGTCACCCCCTTCCTGAGCTGGCACCGAACGTGTGTGTCTGTGAGCTCAGCATCCACCACCAGCCCTTCTCACATCACCAGCAAGAGCTCATCGTGCTGCTGCCGCCGGAGCCCACACCCTGCTGATGGGGCTTAGTGAAGGTGGTGCCGACCCCGAGCCCGCTGGGTGCGAGCTGGGGTTTGCTGCTGTGAGCTCATCCCTCTGAGGTCTCAGGTTGCTCGCTGGTGTCGCTGCTGACCGTTCGTGCAGAGTCACATGGATGGTGCCTGAGATGCAGTTTTAAGCAGAGTGCTTCGTCCAGCACTTCCAAACCAGGCTGCCAAGGGCACGGTATTTGCTCAGCATGGTGTATTTGTCTGCCAGAGACCTTGAAGAGGCCACAAGGATGGTGCCAAGTAGGAAGACTCCAGTAAAGTTTTGACTTTGGGAAGCCCAAATTCACCTTGACTGCTGGTTGAGCTGTGCTGGAAGCTCTCTGGGATGGTTGTGTCTCTGTCTGTTGACTCTGTAAAAGGTTGAAGGTAGATAGAGCTGGGCACTGGCATTGATACAAGAGCCATTTTGGTCAGTGCTTTCTCTGGTTTCTCAGATATGCCAGAAGTGCTGCACCCTGTTACCCGCTCAGTTCTGCTTTATCCCTTTGTGGCAGTGTGGGACAGACCTTTGGAGCTGGCCATGGAGATGCTTCAGCACAAGCTTCAACCTGACCCGGTGGAGCAGGGCAGTGGCTGCTGTGTGTGGTGCTGACATGAGCTGTTCCTGAGCGGGCAGTTGGGTACAGCACAGTGGTGGTGCCTCCACTTCTGCCTGCAGCTGCCTTTGCTGCTGCCCTGGGGTGGTGTTTCCCCCATCTTTGCCTTCAAGCTCTTCATCATCTTCATTACAAGGGAGATACTGAGGTGCTGGAGCAGGGCAGTGGAGCTGGTGCAGGGCCTGGAGCCCAAGTGTGATGGGGAACGGCTGAGGGACCTGGGGGGTTCAGTCTGGGGAAGGGAAGGCTCAGGAGGGACCCGATGGCTCCCTACAAGTGCCTGACAGGAGGATGGAGCCAGGAGGGGCTGGGCTCTGCTCCCAAGGAACAAGGGATGGGACAAGAGGAAACGGCCTCAAGCTGCCCCAGGGCAGGTTTAGATGGAGCTGAGGAACAATTCCTGCCCCAGAGGGTGCTCAGGCATTGGAACAGGCTGCCCGGGGCAGGGCTGCAGTCACCGTCCCTGCAAGTGTTCACACCCCATAGAGGTGAGGCCTCAGTGCCATGGGTTAGGGGTGGCCTTGGCAGTGCTGGGAACGGTTGGCCTGGATGAGCTGAAAGGGCTTTTCCAACCTGGTTGGTTCTAGGGTTCAGTGATCTTTTCTTCCTGTCAAGCTCTTGACAGCTGTGATCAGCCATGTCCCTGCAGATACCCCAGCCTGTAACCCAGCTCTGTGTCCCCTGTGGGGCAGTGGGACCCTGCTGCCACCCCTTGGTGCCGGTGGAGGGGTTGAAGCACAGAGTGAAGAACTTGCTTGGGCAGTGATGCTTGGAACAAGTGCTGGAGCAGATTTCAGCAGGTGCTTGGGGCATGCATTTGTTCCATGCAATGAAAACCCATCCATCTCTCAGGTTCTAGTCAAAGACATGCTAGGAATGAACAAACACATGTGCCCTGGCCCACCTGGGGCTGGTGTCTGCCAAGAGACAGTGCTGTGGGGCATTAACACCTGACTTTACAGCAGCCCATAAAGGAGAGATCTTTAGAGCTGGGAGTGTGTCTGTGATCTGGTTGAGGAAGCAAGCATCTGTGGCAGTAGGTAGCTGATGCTTTGGCTGGTTGGTTTCACTCTGGCATGCTCAGCCTTCGTGTTAGAGGGTGGTTTTACAGCCAGCCCCATGCAGTTGCATTGGGGAACACAGGTTTCTTTCTTTTACTGGCCAGCATCAATTGTGCTTGCAATCTCGGGGCCTTCATCCTTGTCAGTGTGAGATCTTTATCTTCTACATTTCTATCACCAGACTGTAATAAAAGCTGCCACTGGGCTGGTGTTTTTGTGCTTTCCATGTGTAGCTGCTTAGCAGCGCCCTGTCTGCCCTCCTTCAGGCCATCAACACCTTTGCATTTATGCTGGGTCTCTCATTTTCAGGCTTTCCCTTTGGAGGGTCTGAGGTAACTGGGAATCAACACATCCTGGCTGAGGCAGTGCTTGCGTTGAGCACCACAGCAGCCTTTCTCCTCTCACCCACGCTGTGTTTGCTCTCCAGCTTTAGCAGGCTTTCTGCTGAGCAAATTGAATGCAGCTTCTGGTTTGTTAACAAAATCAGCTGTGCCATGGCCTGTCTTGGTACTTGGGACAACGAGCTGCAGAGCTCTAAACATCCCCCTTTCCTCCTTACGGCTCCTGCCTCCTTGCCCAGGCTCCTTCTGTATTAGGTGCTGGAAAAACCCAGGGTAGATTTGCCCACATATCTGTGCAAGCCACATGTGCTGCAAGGTCTACTACGGGTGCATAAAAGAAGGGCTGACGTCAGCCCTAGCGTAACCCTGTGCAGACTGGCTGGGCTGGAGGAGCTCCTTAAAAGAGCATTTGCAGTGCAAATGGTAACAGAAGCTCAGCAGATGCCACTGTAGTTACTGGTACATGCACAAAAGAAACCAGTCTGATGGAAGTGTTGAGGGAGTTACTGTGTTTGAAGATCCTGGCAGAGCTTTTCCAGCAGCAGAAGGTGTAACGTGTCTGAGAGCCACAGTGAACTGAAAGAGGGAAGAGAATTAGTTCATAAAGGGCCATGAGCTGGAGGATCTCTGGGTTTAATGGTTAAAACCTCCCATCAGCTGAAGCAGGTTTTACCTTGGACTCAAAAGAAGGGAAATTGGGAATCTCTGCCAGGGAGAGGATTATTCTCCTACACTTGAAGGGCCCAGCACTGCTGATTCAGGAGGCTGTCTCCTCGCTGATGCAGAAAGAGGGACATGTGCTGGCAATGACCTGTCATCCCCTTTCCCATCAGCTCAGGAGCTGTTTGCTGTCACTCTGACCTTAGGAAGAGGCCATCATTAAGCTAAAGAGAGATCAGAACAGCTTGGCTGCTGTTCCTGTGGGCTGGCTGCTTTCAGATCGCAACAAGCAGGGTATGAAGGGTTGAAGATGCACACGTTGTCCATGTGCGGTTTCTTTTAGAAGCCCCCCAGGACTAAAAGTACCAAAATAAAAGCAAGGAGGGGATGATGTGTGTGGCCAGAAAACCCACCCCAGGCCATTTTGTAAACGCACTTGTGTTTATTGCCAAGTAGAGGCTGTAGTTACCAAGGACAGCATCGCCTGGGCCTGCAAACAGGAGCAGCTTTAACTGTAACCCAGAGCTGGCAGTGGAGCCTGGAGGAGAGAAGGCGCTAGAGAGACCTCAGAGCGGCTCCAGTGCCTAAAGGGGCTCCAGGAAGCCTGGAGAGGGGCTTTGGACAAGGGCCTGTAGGGACAGGCCAAGGGGAATGGCTTTAACCTGCCCAAGGGGAGACTGAGCTGAGCTCTTAGGCAGAAGCTCTTCCCTGTGAGGGTGCTGAGGCGCTGGCCCAGGGTGCCCAGAGAAGCTGTGGCTGCCCCATCCCTGGCAGTGTTCAAGGGCAGGTTGGACACAGGGGCTTGGAGCAAGCTGCTCTAGTGGAAGGGGTCCCTGCCCGTGGCAGGGGTTGGAGCTGGAGGAGCTTTGAGGTCCCTTCCAGCACAAATCACTCTGGGGTTCTGTGAAATAGTGGATGGGGTTATCTCCTTCCAGGTTGTGTAGCTGCGGTTTACGTTGGGACACCCGTATGGGGACAGCTTTGCAGTGTAGACATCCAGAAGCTGAGACATTTGTTTGGGAATGAGAAGTCTGTTTAATTTGGGCCTGCCGTAATTGCTGGCACGAAATCCTTAATTGTGTCATTAAACTGTAAAGATCATCAATATGCTTTGATCTGACAAATAAAGATGCCTTGTGTTCCTGTGAGTCACTATCTGAGTCAGGAGGAGCGAATGGATCACAAGGAAATGGTGGTAAATGAATAGATTGGAGAGCCCAGCATCTGATACTGCAAATCAAATTGTCTAAAAGGATTGATTTGATGCAAGGCTTTGGTGGGTAATCCAAGACACAGCTTTTTAACTAATGTTCTGTTTTTCTTCTTTCCATCCCCAGACAACGTTTCCTGTGACTCCATCGCTTGCAACAAGCCCCACGATGGCTTTTAGTCCTTACCTGAGTCATGTTTCTCCTGGGATGGGATTGGTTCCTGCAGAGCTGTTACCAAATACTCCTGTCCTGGTTTCTGGAAATCCTACTGTTACAGTACCAGGAGGCTCTGCTGGGCAGAAACTGATGCGTACGGATAAACTGGAGGTATTTGGATGTCTGATACGGTGCTGCTGATGGGAATGAACAGGGCGTGTGGTCCCAGCTGCTGCTCTCTGCTAGAATGACTTGATGCAGCACAGTGCAGAGTTTAACCAGCAGTTTTCCTAACACAGGGCTGCTCCTCTATGCTTGAGCAGATTCTCATGCAGGGCCTGATTGCAAATCCTTGAAAGTCCCTGGGAATTTGGAAATACTCTTGTGATTGCCGTGGGTGTTGGAGCAGGCTGGGATTGTTGTTTTCTGTGCTTTAAAAATGCAAGTGGAGGGTTTGCCCTTTCACTGAGCTGAGTGGGAGCCGTTTTGGGAGTACCAGACACTTCCCTTGTGTAGAGGTGGCTTTACTGAGCTTATACAGAAAGCTTTCAGCATTGCACTGTTGGGACCTGCGAGCATGGGGTACTGGAAGGATGTCTCTCCCTCCCCATGCTTGGGTGGGCTTCCTGGGACTTGGTGTTGGAGGAGTTGCAAATGTCTTTCAGACCTTAAGCAGAGGCTCTGCAGGACATAAAGGCTGAGGACCTGAATTCAGAGATCCCTGCAGGTGTAAATTATAACACAGGGAAGGGTATCATTTGAAAGCATGTTGGTCTGTGTTCTTGCTGACAGCTCACCTTTCTCCACACTCAGTCTTGTAGTGCACAAGTACATAACCTACACCACCAGCTGTAGCCCTCAGCAATTCCCCTCAGTTCCTCAGAGAAGGAAACATTTTCTCTGCTTTTGATGCTTCAGTGGTCATAACTTAGGAGGATCTTCAGGATATTCATAAAGCCAGCAGTTCTGGCAGCACCTCCCGAGCACACTGCAGTGTGATCAAATGCACTGTCACTAATGCCGCTGTTTTATTGTGGAGGGCAGTGAGATTACTTATGTGAAAGAGGCTACTCATATTTAGGAACACGTACTCATTGCAGGTAACAGCAGCATGGAACATTTAGAATGAAAGGGTCTACCCAGGAGTGTGCTGCATAAGGAACACATAACCCAGGTGTTAAACACAAGTGGCAGAGTTGTAACATTGAAGCTTTAGAGGCAGGGGAGAAATCCTGAGCTCCAGAAGTTCTGGTAAAACAACGTTGACTTCCTGAGGTGGTTTTCCATTCTGTACAAGTTCTGTATTTCCCTTGTGCTTGGTCGTAGGCCCTGATAATGCTGTGGGGTTCATCCTTGAACCGGTTATGAGTAGCACCAGTCGTGCCTGTGACCTGTGTGCTGCCTAAGCATGGGTGTAGAATACACACGTGGTTTAATGTAGCCAGCTGAACTGATACTCCATGTTTTGCACACTGACTGAGGAGTGAGTTGATGTTCACTGTGACTTCCTTTGAAGGTGTGTCGGGAGTTCCAGCGTGGGAATTGCACGCGTGGTGAGAACGATTGCCGCTACGCTCACCCCATAGATATCGCAATGATAGACACAAATGAAAACACTGTCACAGTCTGCATGGATTACATCAAAGGTCGATGCTCTAGGGAGAAATGCAAGTACTTTCATCCCCCTGCACACCTGCAAGCCAAAATCAAGGCAGCTCAACACCAGGTGAACCAGACAGCTGCAGCTGCAATGGTAAGCATGAATTCTGCTCAAGCTGTATTAACATCACTGAGAGATTTCAGTTGTGTCACATGTGGTGTTTGGGGGAAAACAGAGTGCTTTGTAAATGGCTGACTGAGAACATGTGCAGTATGAAAACCCTCTCTTCATCCCTTCTGTGTGCTCACCATAGCATGAAGCCCGGAGTGACACAGTGCAGCCTGTCAGAGACATGGTGACAAACCCTGACATGACATCATGACATGACATGCACGCAACACTTGGAACCAGCATCTTCCCTGGCTAAGTTGTAGGTGTCAGTTCAGCTTTTTCAGTACACAAGGAAATCAAAGATTGCTCATCCCATAATACATCTTTCGCAGGGAGATCCTGGCCTGTTGAAGTTGGTAGCAGAAATTCCACTGACTTAAAAGCAGACAAGGTGTCAGTTGTTTCAGGTTAGGAAGCTTGTGCCAGGTACCTTAGTGAAGTTACAAGGCTCCAACAAGAGGGACCTCCTGGCCTGTTTGATACTTGGGACCTGGTAAAGACGGTCCCACCTGCATTTTAATTTGAACTGGGACTTCTCTAACACCTACAATTGGGAAAATGAGTCAAGGCAGACTGACCAGATGAAATTCCCAGCTGGAGCCAGTGTTTGCCATTGTGTTGAGTTTGGTTTAATAGCACCTATTTATTCCAGCAGTGGGAGAGCTGGGATATTCAGCGTGGGGAGGGAAGAAGAGGGCCAGGGGGATGTTACCCACATGTATAAATTCCTCATGGTGGAGGTAAAGAAGACAGACTCTTCTCTGTAGTGCCCAGTGAAAGCACAAGAGGCAATGGGCACAAAGGGAAATTCAGGAAATTCCATTTTAGCTTCTTTACCATGAAGGTGGTCAAACACTGCAACAGGCTGCTCCATCCTTGGAGATCCTCAGAACCTGCCTGGCTGCAGCCCTGAGCAAGCTGCTCTAGTTGACCTGGCTTTGAATAAGGTGTTGGTCTGGATGGTCTCTAGGAGTCCCTTCCAGCCTCATCTGTTCTGTCATTATGGTTTTATATACAACTGTTCTTAAAAAGGTTCTTGTCTCCTTTAGGATGTAAGTCACTAAAAGTCTTCTGAATCCCTCTTTTTTGAAGACAGTAAAAGGGGAGGTTGCTTTGCATTCATGGTGAAGCAGATTGCAAACCCAGGATGATTCTAGGAATTAAACAACTGCTCTCCTTGTAGCATAAGTGTTACCTGGAATGTAATTTGAAGAGCCCATTTATACTCAGAATTTATTTGTCCTGCAGTTTATTTATGAGATTTCTGACTATTTTTATGACTGTTGAAACAAGAGCTCAGGTCTTGTTGGAAAAAGAACCTTCTGAAATGAAACTCTTTGTGTTCTTCACAATTGAATCTTTACTTCACTCATTATGTAGGGCACTGCTTCTTGACCAAAGCCAACACATGTTTTATTCATGCTTCTGGCTTCTGTTAAAAATGTGATTAACCTTATTTGTATGCTGCTAACTAGAACCTTTAAAATATTTATTGATGGCTTGTTGCATCACCCCTGCTACCAAAACAGCTTACATTATTCATTGACTTTTCAAGGTCTGGTGCATTTACTGTACCTGTTGAGGTGTAAGACTTTAATAAGGGGAAGAATGGTGCCTGGGTGTCTTGGATCAAAAAATGTATGCCAGAAAAATGGGTGTTCCTTCTGAAATAGATTTGGAATGACTTCAAATCCAAAGTCAGAAGGGATTTCTGAGGATCTCAGTCCTGCAATTACGTGACATGCACAAATAGTAGCTTTGCTCTTGCTTGGCTGAAGTCAATGCGGTGCAGGCAGATGGACTGGGTCAGGCTCAGTCCCCAGTTTAGGATGGTACTTAAGCATGTGCTTGAACCTTCTTTCTGACTGGTGGTCATGCCCTTGCCACAAGCACTCCTGACCTCTGCATGGTGTGGGACTGCAGAACTAGGGCTGCAAGTCCACTTGTAGGTGCTAATCCCTGAGTGCTCCTGACCCACTGCAGCAGGCAGTGGAGCAGCTCTGGAGCATGTGTCCCACAGTGACATTTCTTCACTTCTAAAACTCACTCAAAACAGAGAAAAACAGAAGCAGAGAAGCTGTGGCTGCCCCATCCCTGGCAGGGTTCAAGGGCAGGTTGGACACAGGGGCTTGGAGCAAGCTGCTCCAGTGGAAGGGGTCCCTGCCCGTGGCAGGGGTTGGAGCTGGAGGAGCTTTAAGGTCCCTTCCAACACAAACCAGGCTGGAGTTCCATGAAAACAGGTGATGAGCCTGTTCCATGTCTTCTTAAGACATTGTATAATGCATTCACTTGTTTGTTTGTTTGTTTTCTCTTTGCCTCCCCAAACGTTGCTCTCTCTTGACACCTCTGCTTGCTGGTTTGGTCCCTGTGCTTGTCTCCCTCCCCAGCTCTTTGCCACCCTGTGCTCTCTGCCTGCTAATTAACCCTCAGCCAACTGTCACATCAGCAGCTGTGGAATTAAAGCTGTAGCTGACATAAAAGCCTCTCACTGCTTATAGCTGGCACAGAGGCAGCCCCAAAGCCGGCACAGGCAGTGACCTGGGTCTTGTCTCTGCCCTCCTCAAGAGCAGTGTCTCTGAGCAGACTGGGAAAGCCCTTTAGCTCCCTTCCCCTGCTGACCTTCCCACTGAACAAAAGCCCATCAGATAAGTTACTTTTACTAGTCTTCCTGTCCTGAAGCATCTGAAGGTTTGCCACTGCCTTGCTGGAGTCTGTCACCTCCTCTGAACCCTTCAGGAAGGCTGCGCCAGAGAAGGACCCACAGCAGCGATAAGAGCCGTGTATAATCTTCAGAGGAAGCTGCTCAGCTTGCTTCTGCTGCATGCCAGGGAGCAGGGGCTGCCTCTGCCCTCTCGCAGGTCATTTTGTATTGTTGTGCCTTGGGCTGAAGCAGCCAGATGCAGACCCAGCCCCTCTTCCCCACATGCAAAGGGGTGGAAGTGGGATCCGCTCCCAGGAGAGAGCTATGGGAGGATAGCTCTGAGGTTACTGAATTGTTTGTTGCAAACATGTAATCCAGGCCTTGTCTTGCAAAAGAGTAACAAGAGAGGGTTGGTAACCAGCATGGGGGCGGTTCTGACTTCCATCCCTGGCAGTGTTCAAGGCCAGGTTGGACACAGGCTTGGAGCAAGCTGCTCTAGTGGAAGGTGTCCCTGCCCATTGCAGGGGGTTGGAACTGGATGGGCTTTAAGCTCCCTTCCAACACAAACCAGGCTGTGATTTCATGACGATGATGGAGTAAGTAGTCTGTTGTGCCTTGATGTCCCTATGGCCAAGTGCTTATTTGTGTGCTCCCTCTGACTGCAGTGCTGGGCTCAGGATTGTCCTGTAGAGAGCCAGTACATCCCAGTAAGGTCTCAAAGCCTTCAGTTGTTCTGCTTTTGGCACTGCCATTAAGGGATAATGGGGTTTTTGGGGTGGCTGACAGCCTTTGGCCAAGAAGCAAGGACTCAGAAGTCATTATGTGCCTGCCTGGCACAGTTACTTTGCTATAATTAGCAGGGTTTTTTCTGGGGCAGGTTTTGGAAGCATCTGAAAAGGAATGCTTAGTAATCGGGCACCGTACAGAGCGTGGATTTAAGCAGCAAGTTCTTCACTCACTGTAAACCTGTAAAACACCTCTGATGTATGTGGAGCTACTCCAGGCTCTGCAAGCTGCAGCTCTGCCCCGTGCCTGAAGGAACACTCATGTAGCTGCCATTAAATAGACGAGATGTAGATAGAGTCAGATTTAACATAGTTGTCAGTGAGGGCTTACCTAAAAATGGGAACTCTTAGATCTGTACCTAAAAGACCTCATCCTGAAACGGGGATCTTAAGCAAAAGACTTTGGTGTCTCAATCTGATGTTATCCCATGTTTGAGTGGTGTCATTGGTACTAGCCAGAAGAAATCTGGGAAGATGAAGCCCTGCTGCTGACACTGATGCCTAGCAGCATTAGCAGAGGATGTGTGCATGTCTGAGGGCAGTTTTGCAAATGCAGTTTCTTCCTCTTTTTCTTCTATTAAATATTAAACCTATCCCAAACTCACCATGTCAATGGAGATAGGATGGAGTAACGTTTTGCCTGGAAGTCTCTTGCTTAACATTCCTCAGATGAGCAGTCTCCTATAGCAAATTGAAGTGCAGCCTGTTTCTAGATGGTGACAAACTGTTGCAAGCTTTCACTTAACATTCTGTTGTGTGCTGAGCTTTGTAACACTTGAAAATCCCTTTGCTTGTGTCCTTCCATCCGAATACTGTGTGTTTGCAGCCTCAAACCTTCACTAGCTAAACCTCCTCCCTGCCTGCCCTTCACTGTCACCTCTTAATAAAACCCAGAAAACAGGAAGGATAACTCTATTTCAGCCATGGCTTTGCTCCATGATACAGAACAAGTAGGCAGAAGTAACCTGATTGTGCATGACTTCCACGTGCATAAGGCTCCCTGACGTCAGTGGGAGCGTTATGTGCACAAGGGCTGCAGGGCAGAATTAAAAAGGCCCCTTTTCTGTCACAATGTGCAGAAAAACCCATGCTTTCTACTCGGGTACAATGAAAAGCTGTAAATCATTAGAAGCATTCCTGTCTCCTGAGAACCTGACATACTGCTTTGCTGTTGAGACATGCTTGGGTGAATGATGAGTAACTGAGAAAAGTTCCTGAGTTGGGTTAGTGCTTTTTTTACCAGCTCTGAACAGGTTTGACAGGCTGGAAGGAGCTCGGTGGTGTGATAGAGCAAAGAGAGGAGAGCTGTCCGTGGCTTTTGCACTGTTAGGAACAAGCAAGCAGCACTGAACTGGCGGAGGCCACCTTCTAGGAGGTGGGAGCAGGTCCAAATGAGCTGATGCTGAACTGTGCCACTGGTGTGAGCAGTGGAGGATCAGGCCTGTTCTTGACCATGTTGCTCAGCCTCTCTAACAAGTGGAAATGCGTTTTACTATGAATGTAACATTACACGTGTAACCGGCAGCACCTAGTGCTTTACCACCCGGACACAGGGTTGGCTGCACGCTTCCACACATGCACACATACATGTAAGCAGAAAAAGACAAGCATCCCTTTTTCCATGGCATTTGTTGCTCATGCTGACCTTCTTGGGTTTAAATCTATTGTACTTCTCTTTCCTGGTACGTTTTTAAATGCTTGTTGCCTGCAACTGCTCCTCATAGTATCCTGTCCAGTTGATCACCTCTCCCCTGCCTTTTCCTCACCCTTTTGCTCCCTGTGTTCCCAAGTCAGTCGTGCTGAAGAGCTCCTTTAGCACCCCTCCTCCTCCTGGCCTCTGCCCCTCTTGGTGCATTTGCTAACTGCTTACCTAGTGAACAGATTCCACCTACCACTTCCACTGTGACTTAGCTGCTCTTCTCTTTCCCATCTCACTAAGTTGACACAGTTGCAGGTGATTTGCAGCCAGGCCTCCTGATGATTTAATGCATGTTTGATCTACGTCGGGGCCCCTCGTTTCACTCCACTTGTGTTTACTGACTCCCTTATCCACAGGCCCTGCCGCCTGGTGCACTTCAACCTTTACCAAAGAGGCCAGCACTTGAAAAAAACAATGGTGCCACCACAGTCTTTAACCCAAGCGTTTTCCACTACCAACAGGCTCTAGCCAACATGCAGTTGCAACAGCCTGCATTCATCCCTACAGGTAAGTGGCTCCCAGCATCATAGTTGTCGTTTTGATGACCTAGGCATTGAGCTCATAAGCAGATTTGTTAAGAGTCCTTAGCACAAGAGTATCAGTGTGTAGTTTTCATGTTAAAAATGGATGAAAAGTTCATGTTTGTTGTTTGACTTTTCCTTCCCCCCCCTCCCTCACCTACTGCAGTTTAGAGCTTTTTACTTTAAAGAGCCCTTCTTAGCCCTTTTGGTTATGGTTTTGGGTTTTTTTCAACTAAGAGAAATGTCTGCATGTTTCTGGAATTCATACTTTCTGTTTCTCCTCCTTATGGTTCAGCTGGTTAATCCCAAATTAATTCTTTGACTCCTGCCTAGCACCCTTACGGACTCATGTTAAAATGTCTTGTGGGCCTCTATGCCTGCTCACTTGAAGCTGCAGGTATCTTTCTGAGCTTCTATCTCAGTGACCTCCGTATGCCAGCAGCCATGGTGCTTATAGAGGGAACAGTTCCTCTTTAGTCAATACAAATGACATAATCCTCTTTAAAGGCATATATTTCCCTCGTGCTTGGCTTTTGAGCAGTACGATAGCCTGAGCTTTTTAAAAGCAATTTAACTCCCAGCTCTCATTGTACCTTTAAGGTCTCAGAGTAAAATTGAAAGATGCAGTTCAGTCATTCATACAGGAGTGGAGATGTGGAGATGGCAGTGTGATTGCTGACTAGCCAGTTAACCTCACTGCAGCCAAGTGGCAGACAAAACCTGTGTAGGGTAGGAACTAGTATAAGTGGCTGAATGAGGAATATTCCAGAGTTGATAGCTCATTCTTTAGTATCATTATGATCCTTGCAGAGCATCATAAGACGATGCACAGCCCATGCGTTTAATGGTTAATGCTGTATTCACTTGGCAGATTGTATTTTAAGAAGTACCCAGAGTGTTTGTCTGGGCTGCCCCTCAGGCTGAGCATGGAGTGGACCTGCACCTTGTCCTTGCTGCTTCTGGGGGTCAGGGGAAAAGCCTTAGACATAGTCCTGTGGTGAGACCAAATTGTGTCTGGTGTGAGTTCAGAGAGCCCTGTGCTCATGTGGCCTTTCTGTTACAAGAGCACCTGGGGACACTCAGAACTCAGCAGCTGCCAGGATGTTCTTCCAAGAAAGTGGAGCCTTACATGGAAGGACGGAGGGATGCAAGCAGTAGCCTCCCTCCTTGTTCCCTGCAGAGTGCTCTTGGAGGGGATGGGCTGAGCTGACCTTTGGCAGATCTGTTAGGTGCCAAATGAGATGCTTCTCCGGGAAACACTGACACCTTTGGGAATGCCGAGTCCCTTGCTGGCTGCACGCTCCTCTTCCTCGAGGTCACAGAGTTGTCATAAGGACACGCACCAGCACTCCCCCTGCTCTTGTCTCATGGCAATGAAATTAATGCAGGGCTGATGCGTACAGGTCTGTGTGCTGTCTGGGGACGCGAGTGCTGGGCAGAGCAGCACATTTCCAATCAGAGCATGGATCTCTGATGAATTGATGTTACGCATCCCCATTTTCCCTTATGCATCACACTGCAGATGTGGTCTCAGCCTTTGCAGGGCTCTGGCAAATGAAGCAGGGAGGGGAAGCAAAGTGAGCTGCTGCTTTTCCTCGTGTCTCCTGCTCAGTTATTGAGAGATCAGTCCCATGGAGGGAGAGGGGGAGTCAGGGTGTCTATTGGAAATGGCATCGTCACTACAATTGTTTCAAGTCCAGACCACAACTGCCTCTTTCAGCTTCAACTGGAGACTTTGAAACCCCAGTGCCTGCTTGCTTGCAGGAGTGAATTGCTTTTGGAAAGTCGGTTTTAACATGAGTGTGACGTTCCTCTAAGGGCAATTTGTTTTCTGCTGACATGAAATGGACATACCTGATACCAAAAATCCCCCAAAGAGCCCTGCTTTGTAGGCTAGATGAATCAATTTTAATACCAGGCTGGGAGGAGAAAGATGTTCTCCCCAGAAATGCAAGAATTAATTTGGTTTGCTATGATCTCTTAAAACCGAGTTTAAACTACTTCTGTACCAATATGCAGAATCTGTTTGCATGTGCTTAAATACTGAATGCTGCAAAGAGAATACCTGCTTTTTAGTTAAAGTGATATCTAACACTGAAGCTTCACTAATGAAATATCCCTTTTGTTCATCTTTCCACGCTTCAATGCATGGTGTGCAGGGTCAGTTCTGTGCATGACACCCACTGCAAGCGTTGGTAGGTTTCTCTACACAAACTTCTCCACTTTTCCTAATCTGAAAGAGACTGCGAGTTAGTATGTGTCAGTGAGAACCTGGGTGCCTGAGTGGTGTGACTGGCTATCCGCTGTCTTCTTGGAGGCTTAAATGGTTGTATCCCTTTTAATTTCTGTGCAGTGCAGTGTTTCGTGTGACTAATAAGAGAATCCAAGGTGATGTGTTCCCACCCCTGTATAGTTCTACTGCAGAGACAAAAACTTGTCACTTAAATGTCTTTACAAGCCATTGAGTCATCCAGCAAAAGGAAATGGCGAAGGGAGGATCCTGTTGGTTTAGGTTTTGTATCGGGCATAAGGTGGATTAGAGCTTGGAATCGTGATTGTCTTTGTGAGGCTATTTTAGGAGAGTGGCTTAATAAAGGTGCTAAGGAAGAACACATCTGGGGGTCAGCCCCTCTGCCAGAGCAGGGCTTAGACCATGGATTGGCTGAAGACTCCTCTAGTGCAGTGTCAGGTGTGCAAGCACAAGGGACGGTAAGGAGGTGCTGCTGCTGGTGCACATAGGATGCAGTGAGGTGGCAGGGCTGAGTACGTGCTCATGGGTGCTGCAGGGATCCACTATGTTCAGGCTCAGCATCTAGGTCTTACTGGGAACTCGTGCAGGTCTTTGAGGGACCTTCCCCTCTGCAGCTGCTGGGCAGAGCAGAGTGGGTGAAAGCTGAGCTTTCATCTTCCAACCAAGGTTATACAAGAGTACCAGCATCCAGGCATGCCTGCTTCAGCCAGAGGGATAGGGGCATGAGCAGGAGGCCTGGGAAGGGTGCAGGGCTTTTGGGGAGCAGGTCTGAAAGCTTTGGCAGGAATGGCTAAGCACTCTGCTCTTGAACCCTGTAGTGCAGGGAGGACGCACCGCTTGCATGGCAGGGAGCTGAGCCCCTCAAACACCCCGGGGCCGTGGCTGCTGGAGCGGAGGGGAAGGCCGGTCTGCTTCCCTGCCGCATGGCCGAGGGGATGGACAGACCTTCCCACGAGCTCCCCAGCCCCACAGATTCCCCCTGGGTTTGGGGGGATGCCCGTGTGTACCCCAGAGCATCACTTCAGCCCCGTGCTCTGCGGCACAAGCAGCTTCAGGAGGCTGCCAAGCTCCCTGCTGCCACGTTGTCCTTTGGATGCTCCTTCTGCAAATCGTAGCTGTTCAGATGCATTTTGTGTATTTTTCCCTCTTGGTCCCTTCCCCTCTCCATCCATCCCCCCCTCCCCTTCCCGGCAAGAGGGGCGTTTTGCCAAATCCCCTAGGGTTCGGGTGGGAAGGAAGCACGCTGTGTCCGAGGAGAGCTCCCTCAGGCCGCCCGCCGCTCGCGTGCCGCGCTCCAGCTCTGTCCCGGCCCGGAACATCGTCACCGCTAGAGCGGGGCAGCAAACCCGGGGAGGGGGCTGCTGCCAAGTGCATCGTGTACCCGCGGGGACGGGGAGGGGAGGGAAGGGGACGAGCTTTCCCAGGCGGGCGGGGGGGTGCGCTTGCCAAAACGTCCCCAGCCAGAGGACCGCGCACTGGCTGCGTCTAACTCCCCACGGGTGCGAGCTGACGTGGGCTTTTGCTAGCACACCCGCCCTCTCCCCCCTTTGGAAATGTGTCCCCTCGGAGTCTAATACATCATTGTTCTGCTTATAAATGTACTAAGTGTTGAGAATGTTTTGGTTTTTTCCTTAATTATAATTGTAATTGGCTTTTCCCCTTCTCTCTTGTTTATTTTTTTTCCCAACGCTGTCTTGCTTTGCACTGTGATTGCATGCTGCGCCCCGATGTGTCCTTCATGACGATGTCACATGGCTTGTTGCTGTGATTCCTGCCACGCCCCCAAATCCACCACATGTTGCCATGGTTACCTAAACCAACCAAAACAAACAAACAAACAAAAATATATACCTATATATACGCGCTCCACCCTCCCGTATGTCGCTTCCATGGTTCCCTTCCGAAAGTGCCCATGATGCACGGTGCTACGCCCACCACTGTGTCTGCAGCAACAACTCCTGCCACCAGCGTCCCCTTCGCTGCAACAGCTACCGCCAATCAGGTTTGGCCCTTTCAATGGCTTTCTTTCACGTGTTCAGATCTCGAGGACCGGGCGAGGGCCGGATCCTGTGCGGGGTCCGGAGCGCCCGGCTCGGCGCAGGCTGGGGTGTGCGTGTGCGTGTGTGTGTGTGTGTGTGTGAGAGAGGGGATTGGTGAGGGGGCACCGGCCGGGCCTGCCATGGGCCGCAGCAGGGATGGGCGATGGGCAGGGTTGGAGATGCTTCTCCAAAACGGAGCACACACCTCACCCCGGGTCCTGGAAACCAGGCTGCAAACCCCCCAGCGCGGTCGCACAAGAGCTGCAGCGCTTCTGCTTTCAGTCTCAAGCACAAATACCACCCTGAGCATCCTTCCCAGTGGTATTCTGGCATGTCCTGTCCCGGCTGGAAAGTGGAAGTGGAAACACAAAGTGGCCTCCCCCCCAGCGCAAGATTGGACTCCAAAACCTACCCCAAACTCCCCCACAGTTGGGGCTGAGGCTCTCAAATCTGAAGCTCAATTACCCCAGCAGCACATCACCCATCCCTGCAGAACTGCCTGTGGATGTGCAGTACGTGCTGTTGTAGCACTGTCATAAGTGTTCAGGATTCCATGCATGTCTGCCGAGCCATGATTCTCTCCAAAACTTTCCTCTGAGGATACTGAGTTGTGATGGCTGCTTCCGCACCAGTCCTGAACTGTATATGCACAACCTGTCCTAGTGATGCTTCCTGACAATTTGGTGTGCCACAGCTCCTCCCAGTTAGACCAGAGGCATTTCAAACACTTGGGGTGTTTTATTCCCCACCTCCCCCCAGTGCTAATCTTAGCTTTTTGATTTGTCATGCTCTCAGGTTTAGAGCGATTGCAAAGAAAACGGGGTGTCACTTTGTTCTGTAGGGGCTGTTAGCTGTGCCAAACCTCAGCAGTATCTCAGGGGGCATCCTCTAGACTTCTGCTAGTGCAAGGGTGTGAGGCTTCCAGTCAGTTTGGCCTTGCATAAGTCCTAGGCAGTGTTTTACTGCTCGCAGTGCAGCTCACTGGTCTTTTTCTGTGCTTTGTTGTTATGTTCAGGTAGAGCAGGTCTTACTCCTACTCGTGCTGGTGGTGAGAAGAGAGCAGAAATTCAGTGTTGCTCTGTGGCTGTATGAGTCCTGGTTCAGCCAGATGGTTTCAGGGCATTTCTGTCTTAGGTGTAGTCTATGGAGTTAAAATCTGGGTACAATCACTGCCTACTGCACGAGGCATCAGTAGTGGTGCAGCTACGTTGTACTTAATGTGAGGCAAAGTAAAGGCATCTTGGGAGCGGATCCTGTTTTGTAAGACACTGATGTACTTGCTAACCTGATACTGAAGACAAAATGAGCAGCTGGATCTCATGACAATGTTTTAATGTGTTGTGTTCTTTGTTTTTTCTCTGCTGTAGATATCCCAGTTATCAGTAGATGAACTGAGTAGCAGCATGTTTGTTTCACAGATGTAGAAGTTCCCGATAGAACAGTAAGTTCCTTTTTGGTATTTCTCTTTATGGTGGATTGCTTTGTCCGAGGGCATCCCCAAGCAGGGGGCTGGCTGGGGCAGAGGGATCCCAGTGCCTTCACACACTGCCAGCTCAACAGAAACTGAGCTGCTGCAGCACAGGCATGGACCAGCCCTATGGGTTATAACAAGCAGTGTTTCCTTGCGTCTAAAATACCCGGTTTGAGGTGTTGGCAGCTTCCCTTCTTGCATCCCCGAGTCTGAAGCTGTGTTTACAGGTTACTCTTGCTCTGCATGGCTCCCAGCTGCCTGCAGATGCCTCAGGGATTTGTGCTGTTGGTGGCAAACTGCTGTGGTAATGAGTCAGCTGAAAAGGTGTAACTTCTCTCCTGCTGTTGGTGGCATACTTCCTTTCTTGGGGTAAGCAGGATTGGGTCAGCAGCAGCTGCTGTGCACCTGCAAGGCTGGCTCGGTCAGAGCAGAGACCTGCTGCACAGCTCAGCTGCACTGGGGGCCTGGCTCGCGGTGGGTTTCTTCAGAGGTCCTTGTGTGTGTTTAAGACCAGGGTGAATGCCACAAGCAACATAACCTTCACCCTACCTGCAGATCCTGGGCTTGCCTCGTCTGCTGGTTTTCTCTGAGAGGGAATGGTGGAGGAGTTTGTCCTTTCCTTTGACTTACAGAGTATTGTTTCACAGCCGTAGCAGCAGTGTCATTTTTCCTCTGCTCTTCTTTGTGAGCGTTTGCTGATATTCATGAGAGAAAATCCCTTGAGGGTTTCAGTTCATCACTGGATTATTTTTTTTACTCCAAGAGGGTAAAGAGCAGTTCAGCCAATTCAACAAGAGGTCACCAGAATTGCCCAGTGCAGGCCACTTAGTATACACAGAGCTAAAACCCATTTCTTCCTTAAGTCATGTATAACAGGCAAGTACTTACATGATGGCAGTTAATTTGGTAAGCGGCTTACTAATGGTATCTTTAACAGTCAGCAGAAGTTACTCATCTTGATAGCGGACCTTTCCTTCTGCTGACCTAAATAAAGCACCATATGTATGCTAACTTTGGCCACGGACCCCCGTCCACGTAGGGGTGAACACCAAGCTCTCCCCATTAGCAAAGATGTTCTGAATGACCAGGGCTAAGGAGGCCCTGGTAGCCAGGCTGGCCAGCCAAGCTGCAGGAGACAAGCAGTGGGTCCCTCAGGGGAGGCTTTTCACACGTACATCCCAAGAGAGGCCATTTGCTCCCAGAGGAGGATTCCCTGAGCACGGGGTTTCTGTGTCTGTGATGTGTGTCGAGGCCTCTGGTTCCTGGCTCTTTAGGATCAGATTTTCTTGTTGCAATCTGTGGTGCTCTCTGAAGGGAACAGGAGCTAACAGGGGCCAGGGATGCCTGTGGCCCCCTCCTTGGTCCCTCCTACCACCCTCTCCAAAAATAAGCCTTATTATTCACCCACCTCCCTCTGTCACTAATTGCCTTGTCAGTGTGTGTGGGGCGTGCTGGAAGTGGAAAGCCCTAAGTGCAGATTAGAGAGGATGCCAAGAATGTTATCAGCCATTTCACCCCACATCAGCAAACTAAGGCCATAACATGTTTTCTCTCTGCAACATACTAATGGCAACCCCTTGGATGTGAATGTATCTTAGTAGAGCGGCTTTTATTAAAACATAGATGTGTGTCCCTAACTTCTCACTCTTTCTCTGTTGTTTTTTCTTCCCCTTGCAGCAGATCATGTTGAAATTCTGAACAGTAAAATTATGGAGCACCAGGACTTCTTGGTGGGAAGCTGCGCATGGCCTTTCTGTATATATCCCCTCTTCCCTCTCTCGTTCTCTACCACCTCTACAGTAAGCCTGTTGCAGCCTACATGTTAACCAAAAACTGAGCAATGGGAATGTCAAAAAAAAAATGAAAAGACAAAAAAAAAAAAAAAAGCACTATAGAAACACTTAACAAACAGCGCTCTGATATACGAGATATACCAGTAGGAAATTATAATAGACTTTTGTAACACGTAACTTTAACACACTTAATCATTTTCTGACTACCATCCTGAGAAGTGCAGCTGCACAGCGGACTGTTGGTTTACTGTATACTATCGATGGATAAATGTTTGTCTTGTTTTTAAAGTGTTATCTTCCTGTTTTGTTTACATCATAGTCTATTGATTTGTTTGGAAGTGTACATCATTATCAAGTATACTCAGTACCAACTTTTCATTATTGTTATGTCTTAAGTTTTCATATTCTGTAGGTTTTATGGGGTTTTGTTTGGTTGGTTTTTTTTTTTTTTACTAAAAATGTTATTGTGGGAAACAGGAATTACGTGCTGGAAAAACACGACACAGGAATGTTCTGCCCTTTGCTGGAGTTTGCTGTTAGCATCAGCTACAGATGCTCATGTTAAATGCTCCTTCTAAGCATTTAAAATTTGCCTTCAGATAGAGTGTCCAAACTTGTAGTACAAGGGATGCAAAAGGACAGTTGTCATTTTAGTCCAGCTCAGGGTATTTCTTTCAGTACAGTGAGCTGATTCTGGAAACCTTTTGGGGAAACCCACATGTAAAATCCCAGGTTCGGGAATGATTGGCTCAGCCGGTGGTAAGCATCAAGGGATTTCTGCAGTTCTGTTGTCCATGGAAGTGCATTCTCAGCTGCAAACTGCGCACAATCTCTCACGGTGCAGTCAAAACAAAAGCGAAAGGTGTGAGGTGAGACAGCTTCAGTTGGGCAAGGACTCGTTGTGTTGGGGAGGAGCTGGAGTGGGCCATAGCCATGACTTAGCCCGAGCTGGGTGATGCCGTGCCCAGTGGCTTGTCTTCACTGAGCATGCTGAAACATCTCAGCCTGAAAACTGAGGTGGCTCTCCTTGAAATGCTGTCAGCGTGCACCAGTTCTTTCGTCTCCATTTTCCATAAGTGGGTGATTTTTTTTTTCCCCTGTGATCTCTGGCCCTCTAAAGCAAACACAGCAGTGACAAGGCAGGAAAAAGCTGAGCATAAGCTTCCTACCGTAGATAAATATTCATCTTAATGGAGCTCCTGTAGGTCACTGGATTTATTCTGGCACCTTCTACTTGATCAAGAGCAATGTTTGCCTCACAACAAGGGCTAGTTCTCAATACCTCCTTTTCTGACACATGAATAAACTGATTTCCAGCCCCTGCACCCTGGACAGCCCAGCCTGTTACGCTGTATTGCTGAACAATCTGGCTGCAGAATGCATTTTGGCTGAGGATACAACCAAATTCATCCCTGTCATAGCTCTACCGTATCATTGGCATTATGGAAGAGATGGGTTTGCTGCTGTAAATCCACAAACTCCCTAGGAGGAGAAAGAAAATGGTGATTGAAACCAAGCAAGAGGCCAGCTCCCTGCCTCTGGGGGGCTGGCCAGCCCAGGCTCTTGGTGGTCCTGTGGGGTGCCAAATTCTGTCAAACAGGTTCTCTTTTCTTTTCCAAGCTCCTTGGCCTTGGTTAGAGACTTTCCTTGCCCCCTCTTCTCCAGTGTGAGCACAGATAGTTTGCTAGATGTGTGTCTCCGTGGATTGCAAGTGATGGAGGGGCATGTAGGGCACAGCCAGTGTGTCCCAGAGCAGGCCCTGACCGTCTGCCCATGGAAAGCCATTCATAGCAAGAACTTTGAAGAGCCCAGCTCGAAAAGGCCTTCAGCAGGCTTTGAAGCAAACCCTGAGAGAGGGGGAAAAACTATCCATCCCCACCCCAAGATCTCCTTTATGAACCCCACATCTGGACAGTCACTTGTCCGTAGCAGTTCCCCTGCCGTCAGCATCCCCAGGCAGCAGCGTTGTCTGAAATCAGTGACTCCCCTTTGTGTTGGCGACCACATCCCTGTTCTTTTCACCACTGAGTTTCTGTTTCCCAACAACCATAACATTGTTAGTGGAAAAAGTGGATTTGAGTACTTCCTGTTTGAAATTATTTGTGTATCAAACAAATGGGTTTTGCACAACCTGTGCCAGTGCCTCAACAAAGAACAGAACTGATCTTCTTAAGCCAGAAAGGATGCATTCAAGCTTGTATGGCTTTATGAGTTCAAGGAGGTTGGAATTTTTTCAGTGCTAAAAGGATTTTTGTATATCTTGACACTTTGATGTAACCTCCTCTTTTATTTATCGACTTCAACATCTGGCATAGATGTGCATAGAATGTAAACCTAGAATACAGCTGTTTCCCTGTCACATTTAAAGCACTGAAAAAAAGAGAAGAAGAAGAAGAGAAAGAAAAGTGTTTAAGGATTATTTTTTATTAAAGAGGTCCAATGAGGGATGTTCAGGGTAGTTATTAGGTGCCACAACAGTTTTTATATTGCTGGCAAATTTAGAGTTAATTTGTAAATGAGTTTAAGGAAAGAAAAGCTTGAAGCACTAAACTTCACCAAATTCAAAACAATCTCGGCAACGATGCCGCTTTGAGGTAGCACTATTTAAACTAGTTGTGCAATGAACTTGCTCTAATTTTCTTTGTTCAAGAAAGAAAAGAAAAAAACCAGTCGCCAGACTATAAATTTCCTAAATAGACTATTACAAAGTCACCGAGCTAGTTAGTGACTCTAAACAAATGTCATAAAAGCATGAATATCATCCTTTATTTGACAAGAGATGTATGTAAGTTTGTTTAAATCGATATAATTTTAGTGACATTTTTATAAGCTTCCCACTTTCCATGAACCTATATTTTTTATTTATCCAAAGTGATTTCTCTTTGTCCATTTCTCTCAGCCTTATGCAAACAATATGCAAGAAATGCTGAAACTTGGATAAAACGGGTCATGCAGAGGGAAAATGAAAGCTGAGATGGATCATTTTCACGGGAAAAGGTTGTTAGTAGTTTCAATACAAAGTACTACTACTAAACTGTAACATAAGCAGACAATAAAAGAGGGATTTAAAATAAAATGGATTCATAAAACTATTAAGATTATTTTTGTTAAATACAGTGCTTTTAGTAATTTGGAACATGGTTTCACAATCAGCCCTGGGGGGTGTTTTTGAGTCCGAGGTTTCGAGCTGATGATGTTTGGACTGTGTATTTTTGCATCGCAACAACGGTCTAGAAGCCAGGCCCCTTCCCCGAGCACTCCGCAGCACCGGGTCCTCTCTTGCCAGCCCATCCTCGCCGTCTCCCACTGCGCTCGGAGTGTCTCCCGGTTGGAAGCAGCCCTCCCGGATGCCGATGGCCGGCGCTGGATGTGGGTGTGTGTCTGGTGGATGCAGCTGGCCGGAGGAGGAGGCGCGTGTGCCCGGTGAGATGGCCTCTCCTCCCTGGGGTGGGAGAGCAGCTCTAGGGTCGTTGGGAAACTGGAGTCCTCGTTTGCGTTCTCCCTTGTACATTTCACAGACATGGAAATTGAAAAAGGTGAAATTTATGAGGAAAATGGAATTTCCCATTCCTGTTGAATGGATTTAGTTTGATATTGACCTGATTTTACCATGTGCCTGTTGAAGGCCTTAGAGTATATACTGTATGTTAAAGACTGTAATAACTTTAAAGAAAAATAGTTGATAGCCTAATCCAAATGTAAATAGAGCTACACCACGTTGTTACTAGGCTACAATGCATCCATTCATTCCTTCATGTCATCTCTCTTCGTTTCTCTGCCATTAGTTTTTAAGGTTTTCATTATTGCTCTTTTTTTTTTTTGATATCTTTACTAACTAATGAATTTAATTTTGAAGGAGGGGTAGAGAAAGTTTAAGGTTTTTAAGACATGTATTCAGCCCATTTAGTTCTATCCTAACCCCACACCGAAGCATGGTAAGGTATAGAATACAGTCCATAACTAGTTTGTATAGTTTACAGTTTAAGAACAAAATTAACTTTGTATGTAACTCCTACAATGATAGATTCATTGTTAACTAATTATATTAAGTTGTTGTTGCTATGGCAACAAAACTACAACATGGCTACCTTTGTATACATTATTTGTGAGATTTTCACATGTAAATGAGAAGTGATGTGTAACAGTATGAGCTTGTTCAAGGTACAGTTCGATACTGTCGGAGAAAGAGATGATTGAGTATTTTTAAAATCCCAAAGTCCCATGTGAACGCTGAATCCGTGGCTCCGAGGGTCACTCTTTCAGTCCAGAAGTTTACAACACATGGATTTAGAGTCAGGTTTTATAGCTTGTAGAAATTGTTGTGTGGCAAGGGTTATTCCACAGTATTTTCACTTCCAAAACCACCACAAGCCTGGATTTACCACGTAGGGACCGGTCTTTGCTTTCATTTCAGCTCCATTCGCACGGTGGCAACTCCGAGTTAATCCGTTTCAGTACTGTAGCTCCGCCTGCAATCTTCCTCTCTCCCAAATCTGAGCACTCACACGATGCGTTACGATCAGGGCTAAAGAATTAAGCATATGACTATTTTAATACTAATTTATACTAGCAAAAACTGTACATAAGAGAACCAAAATATTGTGGAATGACCCCGTAACAGTGTTGAAGATACCAATATGCTGCAGTTAAACTGATTCAGTTCGTGTACGAATGTGTGAGACACACCTTTTTTGCACTTATGTACATAGTCCACGAAAGAAATCCTTGGAACTTATTTTGAATATAAAAAAAAGTCTGTAATAATACAGGAAAAGTTTGTAAAAGAGATAGGTATTACTAAGGCTTTGAAAAGGAGGAGTTTTTTGCTATAAAACTTATCTGAAAGCATGATGTTGCTTTGCTGTTGTAAAAGCTTTGTAGTTTGCCATAGCTTATTATACAGCAGACTGCTACCAGGTCAGCTCCAACCTGCAGCACAGAGAAATGGGGAACAGTGCTTAATTAAATAGTAAGGTCACTAGCAAAGATTTGAATTCCTCTTTTCATCAGCCTGCATTCCCAAACACACCCCAGGGCATGCTTCTGATGGGTTGTGATGGGTGAATCCTATCAGGGCTCGTAGGTCCGTGGTGGCACACAAGCCTTTTTTCCTAGCGCCTGATCCCGTTTCTAGTGGAAGTGTTTGTTAGAGGTGACTGTCACCGCAGAGAGTGTTTTAAATCCCAGAGGGAGTTTGAAATGTCACAACTTACTCATTTGGTTCTTTTTATTTAACTTTATGGGGCAAGGTCACAAATGGAAGGGGCTGGTGAGCAGTGGATGGACAGGGGTGGCTGTGGATGGCCTTGGGCCACTTCCCTCTGCTGTCCAACAGCGATGGTGTTTGTCTGGGAGCACGACGTGGCTGTGCTGCTCGGTGCTGCCAGATGGGTGATGGGGCAGGGAGGTGGAGGCTGATGGCGGCATCGTGGCCAGCTTCACGCTTGGAGGTTGACAAGCCCCGTTGTGTTGGCCACCAAAGGAAAGCACAGCTGTGGTCCCCCAGCTTTGCTGAGCAGCCTCTTGGTTCCCTTTCCACTGTGTTGTGGTACTGCCGGGGCTCTGCAGTACCGGGGGATTGTGGAGGAGCTGAAGTGCCTGTGTTGACCCATTTCTTTTCATTGGAATAAGTATGCTCCAGCAGGCTGGAGCAGCTCTGCTCTGGAGCCAGGCTGAGAGCTGGGCTGGGTCAGCCTGGAGAAGAGAAGGCTCCTGAAGGGGAGACCTGAGAGCAGCTCCAGCGCCTAAAGGGGCTGCAGGAAACATGGAGAGGGGCTTGGGACAAGGGCCTGTAGGGGAATGGCTTGAACCTGCCAGAGGGGAGACTGAGATGAGCTCTGAGGCAGAAGCTCTTCCCTGTGAGGGTGCTGAGGCGCTGGCACAGGGTGCCCAGAGAAGCTGTGGCTGCCCCATCCCTGGCAGTGCTCAAGGCCAGGTTGGACACAGGGGCTTGGGTTGGAGCTGGAGGAGCTTTAAGGTCCCTTCGGCCCAAACTGGTCTGGGGTTCTCTGATCTTTTCTGGCAAACCCAAGCCCTGTTGCAGGTTGGGGCTGAGGTGTCCCTGCCAGGAGCTGCTCTTTGGCCACCACTGCCGGCATCTCAGAGGTTCCAACTCCTCGCGATGTCAGCAAGTGCCCAACCAGCCCATGTGGCCCCAGGGGGCTGGTTAAGGTGGGGGCTGCTGAATGGGAGCCGTAGCATCGTATGGTCCCAGCGTCTTGAAGGTGGGAAATCGGATGTTGCTTTTCTTCATGGGTGTTACAATAACCTAGGTTTTAATGCAAAATAACCAGCTATTTCTAACCTCCATGCTATCAGGGCTTCACTTTGCTGTAATCGATTTCCATAACCAAGTTCTTTCTCGTTTCCAGGATTGTGAGAGAAAAATCCTTTGCACTATGTGAAATGAATCGTAGGTGGTCAAACCTTTGCATTGGGGATGAGCATGATCATGACAAAAACACCTCTAAAATCTTTGCTAGTGATCTTTACTGACATCCTGTATCATCAGAAATAACTCTATTTGCCTCTCAAATGAGCTATTTAAACATGCAAAAATAACACAACTATTAAATAAAAGGAAGTTATTTTTCCAAACACACAACAGAGAGAATTACCTGACACCGAATTACAAGGTTCCAGTTCTTTATTACTGTACACAGATGCTATTTGATAGTGGTGGAAGCCAAATGATTTTGTTGCCATGGCTTTTGTATCCTAGCAGATGAGGGGATGATAAGACCATTCATAGATTGGATTCTGGGATTTTGTTTTTTCTTTCCAATTAGCTTTGCTTTAATTCTATCTTCATTTTAAACCATTCAAATGAACCGAGACTCCCCGCTCTTTATTCTATCACCTGACAACAGATCACTGGTTCTTTTCTTCTAGAGAACTGTATTTTAGGCAATCACTAGACTCAAAGAGAGAATGTTCTCCTAAATTGTCCGGTTTGAATCGCAATATATAAAAGCATTTATACTGTGTAAAGTAGATCTTGAAGTACCTTCTTTTCATAGGCATTTCTGGTAAAACCAAGTAAGGGAAACATTAGGTATCAATTTAATGGTATAGTTTAGAGAATATATACAAATACTACCGTTAGCCCTGTGGAATTGTCAGAAGTTAAAGTCTCCTCAGACCCAGGCGTAGGCTAATGCAGTGTTCCAGTTCCATAACACCATAGTTCATTCCCTCAACTGCTACAACAGGGTGTACGCTTTGAGTTTCTTTTTCTTTCGGCCACGTTATATTGCTGTAGTGCTTGTACGTGCTTTAGAACTGTGCATAATGCTACTCATTTTAGTATGTTACTTCTCTATTGTTATTGGTTTATTTTTGGATCTTTTAATAAAGTGTATAAAATCCTTGGTTATGTTTTTTATGGATCCAGATCTACGCATTAATAGGAGTTCACTCCCAGAAACGTTCCCAGTTTACGAGTCCCAAACTTCAAAGGTTCTGATGTAAAGGAGGAGTAATGGGTAACGGATGGAGTCAATGTTCTGTCAAAGTGTAGAGCAACGGAATAAATCTCTTGCCAGAAACGCACCCTCGGTGGTTGGGATTCTGTGGCCGGTGCCGGGCGCACGCGGCCTCTCCTGGGAGGTTCCTGACCCGGGCGAGACGTTTGCATTATAGCCAAATAGAAAGGAAAACTTCCCAGGCGCTGCCTTTCGGTCGCTCTCGTGCCTCAGGCCTGCTGTGATGCGCTGGCTTTGGGTGGGCAGGGCGGCCTGAGCATCGTGCCAAGGCCGGCAGCGGCTGCAGGGCAGTGATGTGTGGATCAGCTCGTGCAGCGTTCGTGTCAGACACGTTCTGAACGTCCCAGTGCAGTAATCCCGTAGGCAGATCCCGCCTGGAATTCCCCAGCTCTCCTCCAAGGGCACGGCTCAGCCCCAGGCTGCGCTCTTGGGCTGGGGATGCTTCTTGCCATCCGTGGCTAAGCTTGGGCCAGGCTCCTGGAAGAGAAGAGTGCTTCTTGCCGGGTTGGTTTGTCCCTTCTATAGTGATGCATAGGTTAGAGGCAAGACACTGCCACCTCGGTCACCACCTGCTCTAAAGGGGCTTTAACCTTGGACTGGCTTGAGAT